ACTGAGAGATCATCTGAAGTTCAGCATTCTTACACTTTGAGTGTTAACACTGATCCCCAGCCCAACCTAGACATTTAGCTCTTGACTGTGCTATAAACTTTTATCTTTACAACTTTTCAACATCAGCTGAAACTTTCTAACCATAAAGACTGCGATTATCTGATTTGTCTACTCCTAAAGTGTTTTCAAATCATTTAAACCTCAGTTTATCACAGACAATTGCACTGGATATTAGTTTTTCAATTAAACTTAGCCAAGGCAGTATCCTGTACTTTGAAGTAAATGTGTTTCTTTTTAGACATTTGGTGTGCTTCCTTAATGCTGTAGGGAGGGACAGAATAATATCTTGCATTTATTTGTGAATGTCTAGAATCCTCTTGTGTTTTTATAACACCTAGAAATCCCCCATTAACCACTATTATTTCAAATCTAGATTTATCCTGAAAAAATGACAAGTCCAGGAAAATGAATTGGTTTCTTTAATTTTGTAGCAACTATAGAAATACTTAATATTTTTTTATAAAACAGACTATTATAAGTAAAGTCAGAAAATAATGTTTCTACTTAATATTATATATGGCCATTGAAGGAATAACTTGATGAATAATAACTTTTATTCTAAGCTGACATTTTGAGTGACTCCTATATGGTAGACACCATCATATAAGTTCATATATACTAGCTCACTCATGTATTCCCCGCAACAACCCCATAAAATTGACAGTTTCTGTAGGCATACAGACATTAACTATGGGGCCATTTAAGATCGTTCTCATCCTGTAGACACTCTTACTTTTCAAGACCCTAAACCACATCATTTGACATCATTTCAAATATATCAAAACATATATACAAAATTTTACTTTTTTGATGTAAATTTCATAAGAATGTCCATAGTTTTGTTATTCATAAATTATTAATTTTGTTTTTGTGATTTAAATTTTATTATATTCCATATAACTGAACAAGAAGGGGTTGGATTAGAGACTATAATGTAGCTTTTGTTGAAGATGTATTAAATTTGGTTTTTTAGAGTATACATTCCACATCTCCAACATTTTCGTGATCCTTTGAGGAACCCGTAGGCCACAGGCACTGTGGGGGTGGCCAAAGATGAAACAGCCCTGCAGGACTCACAGAACACATCAGGAAGTGGCCCCAGGCATGCCCTTGGCCACCTTTCCGTACTGTCTTCGACCTGCTCTGGAACAACTCCCAGTACTGCACTGAACAGGGGCT